CCCATCCCAGTGCAAAGTCACTTCTTTTAATCCCTGTTTTTTGCCCTCACACCCCTGTCAATCCCTCTCGAAAAAATTTCCCTTCCACCTTCCAATCAGAGCCCACCACATACCCTCCAAATCCCCTACCGTACTTTAAACAGACATCTACGACCACAGAAAGAGGAACACTAGGTATCCCGTCCGCTCTGCCTTATATAAGCCTCTTATCGATTAGCCAGTAGTATAATGGGTGACCGTATGCGAATCCTAATTGTTGTAGATTCTTTTTTGAAGTTTTGAAGTTTTGAATTCATGAAGTTTTGAACTTTTTCGGTGGTGATGAATTTTTGGGTGGGTTTGTTGGATTTTTTGGTGGACAACGCAAAATCGTTTTAGATCGTTGGATCTAGGTTACACAGTCTCGTAACCGGTTACACACGAATAGCCTCGAGCACAACTATAACGCTAAAATCTCGAATCGATAAATGCGTATCTCTAAGTTAAATTGAAGTAATGCTTAGACAGTATATGACTTCTTGATTTATGACATTACAACTACAAATTACATTCAATAACATCCTAACATTTATAAACACCCTCCATATCATTCCCATCCCAAAGTCGACAATATCCTAGTACCTCTTCGTAGTCTTCCCCCCATTCTTCGTACACTTCTTCGTCGTCTTCGGCTTAGCCGTAGTCCTCGGTTTATACCCCACCACCTTAGGTGTAGTCTTAACCACCTTCTTCGTCGTAGTCTTAACCACTTTTTTAGTCGTAGTCTTATACCCCACCGGTTTCTTTCCCGTAGTTTTTACAACCTTCCTCGTCGTCGTCTTAGGCGGTTTAATAACACAACTCTTATTAGTCGCATACCCCTTCGTCCCAGTCGGTTTCCCACCACAAAGCGTCTTAGTAGCATACTTCGTCATCACAACCTTTACAGTCACCAAACTTGTAACCGTCCTCCTCGGGGCGTTTATAGTTTTAGTTGTAGTAACCGGTGACGGTGTAATGAATACTTTATCAGTAGCGTTAACCCGGAATGTGATTATTCTAGTGTTAGTTACTGTTCCGTCGATGATTGTTGTTGACACCGTTCGTGTGGATTTTGTGGTGATCGTGGAGATTGTGAGGATGGTGTTTGTGTATACAGTCGTTTTTGAGGGGATGGTGGTTGTACAAGTGGGCACTACGAAGGTTTTACTGTTGAAGATTGTGTCTCTGCGGTTTAAGTTATTATCATTATTTTCATTGTCATCAAGTTGGTTTGAGAGATCGCGCAGACGATGGGGTTTGTAGTTTGGATGTGGAATGCAGCGGAGGGTTGTTGTTGTTCTTTTTGTGGTGAGGACCTTTTTGGTCGTTGGGCTGGCGGAGTGGGTTATTGTACGAGTTCTGGTGATTGGGCTGAGGGTTATGGTTTCTGTTACACCCACGTCGACTATAGTTGAGAATTTTGTGGTTGTGGTTGTTGATGTGGAGTGGATTGTTGATGTTGATGCTGTTTATATCCCATATCAGTCCAGTATTCAATACGAAACTACTAGTAGGTAAGATTATATATTACTGGTACTCCCGCTCTCAACCGTACTAAAAACCACCTCCGTAGCCTCCCCATAAACCACAGTATTATGCACCATAAACCCGGGCACAGAAACCGTAAGCGTATTCCTCGGAAAATAATAGTTTACCGTAACCAGCGAATCCTCCAGAATATCCTTATAACGTATATCATACAAAAACCTTACTGTTTCCGTAGGATTCGATGGGGAGGTCACGGGTTTTAGTAAACCGACGGTGGAGATTACGCCTTCGTAGTCGGTGTATGTGGCTTTGGCTTGGTAGTTGCTACCGAATGCGCCCGGGCAGCCGGAGTCGAGAGGGATGAGGTTGGATTCTAGGTATGTGTCGTCGGAGAAGTTAACGCCGCAGTGCGGGTAGCTGGGGATGTAGTTGTAGCCGCTGCATTGGGCGGAGACGAGGGGGGATAGGAGGGCGAGGAGGGCGAGGGGTTTGGTCATGATTTAGGATTTAGAATTGTAATAGAAACATAGGCTAAATGAGTGTATAGAATCGTAATTTCTGTGATATCTGATATCCTCATAGATTTGTCTTATGAGGAACAGAATCAAATAAATACACAGACAATCGACGAGAAAACCATTACGAAGATACAATACCCCTTCGCTCCCTACAACCTAAAAGAGCGAAGAATTCCATGCGCCCATCCTCAAAACTTCAAACTAACTAAATTACTGGTATCCACAGCCCCCTTCAACTACTCACTGGCTAACGGTTAATGATATACATACATATCGATATATCCACAGTAGATATCGTTTTATACCTCAATCAACAATCCCAAGTTAGCAAAGCCAAGCAATAAGCCAATTTCCCACATGTGGGTCCTTAAGCGAAAACTAAACAACCCGCACTAACGCTCCTCTTTCGTTAAACATTTCCAGAAAGTTAGAAGATTTATTTGTCAGGGCAAGAGGAATTGTGGAGCGGTTGATTTCCGATTGGGTAATGTTTGGACAGACGGGTTTTGGAATTAGGGCGGGATTCGGTGCTGCAAGAGGGTCGGTTTAGTCTGTCTCATCCGTAGCCTGAAATTGGCGATATCGATAGGCGATAGCTTTCGATATCAGAGAAATATGCCTCGCAAACAACCCGATCACGGAGTAAAACCTAGAAGTAGACTATAAACACCCAACCCCATCGACACAATCAGACCAACCAAAAACATCAACATACCAAGATAAAATAAACCCCAATTTCGGATCCACTCTAGCTTCAAAAGCAGTGGATTGTAAATTCACATCATAAACAAATCCATCAAATACATCGACACAGCCAATAATCCAAAAAGCGGTACAGACGGTGGTGTATCGACCGATTTATTCGCGCTGGATGATCCTGGTGGGGTGGGGATTATTATCATCGAATAGATTTGAGAAAAGTCGATGTCGGTGGGAATGTCGGATTTAAAGAGTCCCAGCGTTTCGAGATTAGTCTCATTAAGTGGTTTGATGTAGACCAGTTTGTTATTAGGTATATTCCGTGAGATCGAAGCAGTATCGCATGGGATATTATCTTCTAGGCTGATGAACCAGTGACGTTCAAGCGGGCAAAGAGATAGAAGAAGCGCGCTTGTCCAAGTGTTTAAGACAACCATAGTCTTGAACCATAACACAAGATATCAAGCCCGCGAATACAGTATATTGAAATTTAGGATTATGCATCTGGAAGTCAAAAGAAGAGAGGAAATATAAACCATGAATAAAGTATAAGATCCCACACGTTCTTGTCAAAAGTAATTCTTGCGTCAAAATGTCGAACCACTACACCGACGGGTTCCCACATGTCAGATCACGATAGAAGCCCCCACGTAGCAGGGATCACAACATAAACATGAGCATGTTTGCGTTAGTTTTATCAAATGATTGAAGTGCAGTCACAACTTCCAACATGGTTTGTTTCGATTTTTTTTACAAAAAGAATGCAAATGGACGATTCGTTAGCATGCTTGTGTCATTGCTAGCTTAACACGCCGCAATAGCTGCGGAACGAGTGTCAGGTTCACACTCTATCACAAAGTCGGGTTAGCTTGCTCCCTTCAATACTGTCACAAACCGAGAGGGGTACTCACATCTAGCATAAACCCATCAAACGTCGTTATCCTTCATAAAGTCCTTCTCATACACAGCAACACCAATACAGTCCTTAACTCCTATCCCCCAACCTCTTCTCAATCTTCCCGGCCTCACGCTCCCTCACAGCCTTCACCTCATCCCTACTAGCATCGAAACTAACATTTGCCTGATTGAACGGATTCTCCTCACTCTTCTCAAACTCCTTTCGAATCCTATCTTTAACCTGGTTTTGTCTGAGACCATCCCACTCCCCATCAGCCTTACCCTCCGCCATCCTACGTTCTTCATAAGCCGCGTATGCAGCTTTAAACCGACGCTCAGGATGACGATCGATAGAAGCCGAGGAAGTGGCTCCAGAGGTGAGTGAAAGCGCATCGAGAGCGTTGTCGATACCCGAGGCGTTAAGGGCAGCGGATTTTGAGGATCCGGGGGTATTATCGAAACCTGCTAGGGCGGCGTCTAGACTGCCGGCGCGGGAGGTAGTAGCGGCTTTCCCTTTGGCACCGGCTTTGGGGTTCGTCTTTGTTGTCTTTAAGGCGGCGGTTTCTTCGGCGAGTTCGGCGTCTCGGGCGGCTTTCTTAGCGGCAGCTTCACGTTTTTTGGCTTCAGCTGCTTGTCTATCGCCATAACCACAAATTAGATACTACTCCAGAACGCCAGCGATGATATGATAGTATTAAATGAGAAAAAAAAAAAGAACATACTTCTTCGAACCATCCTTCGAACCTTCCGCCCACTCAGCGTCCTCCTTGGCGGACTTGACAGCATCCGCTTTGGCCTGCTTTCCAGCAGCAACCTCGGCTTTCCGAGCATTGCCGGCGGCCTTTTTGGAGTTCTCTGCTTTTGGTTTGCCGCCCATGGTTGTTGAGGTTTTGTGTATTCGTACCTAAGTACCTTTTTTTGACGATTGATGTTGTAGTAGATGAAAAGAATTGGTTTCGGGTTGGCGGGGTTGGTGGTGAGTCTTTTGGTGGTGGTGGTCACGTGGGGCATCGGTCTTCGCCCGGGTTGTCGGGCGGCGTGCCCACGTCGACGTCGACGTAACAACGGTTTCTTTATCCAGAGCTGCAGCTGCATATAACTAACAATTCCACTCCTCTCGAGACTACAGATCTACTTTTATACTTTCCATCGGCCTACCTGCCCACACTCTAAAACAACAGCGTTCTAAACTTTTCGCCGTCCTATCTAATATAACAAGATCTGAAAAATCTGTACCACTATGTCGAACGTTGGAATAACTCCTGCCGAAGCTACTTAAAACTCCCCAGATTAATACTTCCCAGTCTTCAAATCCACTTCCCCACTAACCCTATGAAGCCCCTCCCAAGCCCCGTCCAAAATATTCAGATCACCTCATCCGATATGGTGTAGTGGTTAACATCGTCCGCTTTCATCTTTCATATATATATTGAAGTAGAGGTTCCGGACAGCCCCGGGTTCGATTCCCGGTATCGGAAACAAACCAAGCTTTGGTCTTCCAATAGTGATGAGAAATATTTTTTTTAGCCAGCGCGATATATTTATTTTTGAAGGAAATGTTAAGTTGTGTGGTATGTGAAGAGTCATATCAAATCGAGTCATATAGGTTGTGGGTGTAATAATATATTTTCGACGGTTATAAAAAACCATGTACTGTTGAACGTGAATCCAACTCTATAGACCCTAGCTAGAGGCGAAACAACCGAATTCAAAATATCACAATCCAGCTTCTTCTTGTGCCGAATCGAATCCCAGCCATTTAAACTATAGAAATTGCTCCGAGTCCTATAAAAACTAAAACAAAACTATTTCCAACAATCCTCAACTCATTTTAGCAACTCTAATACAAAAACAGGCCTTCATCCTGTTGCAAACTACTATAAGACTTGACAAATGGAAGAAAGAAAGGAAGATTTCAACTTCGGGACGGGTGTAATAGCCATTTAATTTTTAGTGGTGAGTTATCTCTTCTAGATCGATACCTTATATATTGACATTACATATCAGACCTTTACCCTCAAAATCCAACAGCCCTCAACATAGTCTATCCCCAAGTTACGAAGGCTTCACCCTATATATTCATACTATCGATAATCATATCCCCACAGTGATCCCCCTAACCCCCCGATAGATTCTAGATATCATGTGACGATTTTGATGTTTCGAACTGACTTAGAAAAATTATTTTTTTCAGAAAACGCGTATGCCATTGCAATGACAGGTAGCTTGATACTATATAGAACAACGTTTGGGTCGGATAGTATTTGCGTAGCGCAATAAGTTCTTTTTAACTGTCAAAATGATCATAGGACGTCTGAGTATACTCTTAATCCATATACTCGAATCATATCATCATATAACCTGCTACAACGGGGATAATTTATACTATTTCGTGATGCTATCGTTTTCCTCAGATCCATTATCCCGTGCGTGATCAGTTACAAAAAACCAAACTAGATTACTAAAATATCTTCCCTATGGATTAGAAAGAGCAACGTGGGTTTGTTTTCACATATTATCTCTCTTCTACAGTCGTCGAATTGAGATTTAATTGCGGATTACATTCGTTTTTGAGGTCAAAGTCACCATGTGCCCCCCCCCCTTCTTTATTCTAGTATGTAGGTATTCTCTGCTCTCGAATCAGAAACTCTTTAACTTTCTAAAATCGTAATACGATATAATTTAATTCAATTATTACCTGGGTACGAGACCAATTAATTATTACTCTTTTCTCAATATGAGAATCTTCTTTGACTACTGTCAACTCTTGTCTTATTTGAGACAATGTCAACTCGGGAGAAAAGAAAGAGAAGAGAAAAGAGAAGAGAAAAGAGAAGAGAAAAGAGAAGAGAAAAGAGAAGAGAAAAGGGAAAAGAAGAGAGAAAAGAAGAGAGAAAAGAAGAGAGAAAAGAAGAGAGAAAAGAAGAGAGAAAAGAAAAGTGAAAAGAAAAGTGAAAAAGAAAAAGAATGCACAGTACACTCGTTTTTGATGTGAAAGTAGTCATGTGACCCCCTCCCCCCTCATTAACCTATCCCAACAATTGCGTAGCACGTTCACATTCTGTATATGAAAATAGTCATGTGGTCCCCCCCGTTAATGTATTGCAACGACTGGGTTGTTCAAATCGCGTTATGCGGAGAACGTTCGTTTTGGAACTCAAAAGAGTCATGTGATCGTCCTCCCTGCTACTGTTCTTCAACAATTGCGTACTCGAATGTATAATTGCGCAGTACGTTCGTTTTAGACGTCAAAAGAATCATGTGACACCCTCTGTCTATTACACCTCAACAATTGCGTAGAACATCGTCCCTTCTAAAAGTCAAATTAATCATGTGACCCCCCTCCCCCAGCCATAATTCAACAATTGCGTCGTACATTCGTTTCAGATATAAAAATAATCATGTGACTCCGCCCCCCTCTCAGTATCTCAATGATTGTGTAGTCGAGCATACGACGTAATTCCTGGTTCATTTTAGCTATCAAAGTGATCATGTGACTCTACCCCCCCGGGTCTTCTCCCCCCTATATTCAGGTATTTCAGTATGATAATTTGGCCTCGAGTCGAGGCGTCACGATACATTAGTCTCGTAACTAACGATATTTTGTATCTCCGAAGCCCAGCATTATTTAAATATAACAACACCCCAATCACGAAGTACCTCGATATAATAATATCTAATTCTACTCTAAACCTCCTAGATCATACTCTCACTCTTATTATATTATTACCCCGCCTCATATATAAAGAAAATCAAAACCTATCAATCCGATCAAAAACATGCGCATACCCTTCTCCCTCCTTTCCAATCGGGAAAAACCCCACAACTCTACTCTCCGGATCCGCCCACAATACCGGTGTACACAAAATAAACCACACCGTGGTATACCCGACTCCAACCCCCCACCTCACCCAACTCTTCTTAACCACCTCTCCATCATTCGATACTCCTAATATCCAAATCACAATTTCCTCGATAGTGATAAACGCAGCTTGTGAGATGAAGAATAGGAACGTATAATACCACGGAGGAGAATTTGTGGTGGGTGGTGGTTGTGTGTAATCAGTACCGACGACGATGAAGTATGAACCCGAAACGTGGATGAGACCTGATATTGAGAATGCAGAGAATAGGAGGAAGATGTGACGGAGTTGTTGGATTGGTTTTGATAGTAATTTTGGGTTTTTGCCGAATATTAGATTTGCCATTTTATCGCCGGGGACTTGTATACACTATATCATTCCAATCGATCAATATAACCCCCCCTAAAGAGAATGATGATAGATAGGTACTAACCTTCCTAATACTCTGATGCCAAACCTTCCCCCAAACATTCTTAACACTCCAACAATCCTCAAAATACCCAAACATCCTCGGCCACATCCTAAAATCCCCCCAACCGCCCTCCTCACCATTTCCAAACCCCACAAACAAAACCTTCAAATAAGAAGACACCAGCACCGTAAACACAATATTCCTAATCCCCCAAGCACCACTAACAACAGCCATCTGTACCCCCAAATTCGCAAATACCGTATAAAACAACGGATACCGAGCCGCATATCCCGGATCTCTTAGTAATCGGGCTAGAAACCCACAGATGGCACCGGATGTAAACCATGCTGTGTGTGCTAGGATTATGGTACCTATGGTTTGTAGTATACAAGACCGTTTTGAAGGTGGATAGGTTGTATCCGGAAGATTTGAGATTTGGAAGTTCCAGCCGATACCCCTAAGGGCTGTTATTAATGATAGCGACCATTCAATCCTGCCCCAGAGAGTACCCGGATACTCCTCCTTTGCATATCTAACATCTTCTCGGTTTATGTCATCGTGGTATATAGTCGTCTTTTTTAGTCTATTAAAGTATTTTGGTGTATGGAATCCATGGGCGTATAGGTAATGGCAAAACGCGAATCCGAAGCTGGCGCATAAGGTACCGAGTTTGAAGGCTTCTTCGATGGAGTTATTATCCGATGATGGGAATTTTGGCGGTGAGAGAAGCGCTTGGAGGAATAGGAGGGCTGGGAGGGGATAGAGGATTTGACGGAGTAGTGAGGTTGTGGGGAGGGAGAGGATTGTGATTGTTAGGATGGGTGTGGTTAGGCAGGCTAGTTGGAGGGTGTTGGGTGCCATTGCGGTTGCTTCGGGTTATATGGTAGAAGAAGGCATGGAGAGGGAGTAAGGACGCGGTTGGGGTTGAGGTTGAGGTAAGAGTAAGTTGCTTGGGAGAGTAAGCATAGCCGTTCGAGACTGGACTAGTTCCATTACATACAAAACAATACAATACAAGTACCAACATCTAATATTAAGAGTTACTATGGAAAGTGAGGCTGAAAATACTAGTTAATCTTATCGGAAACCGGAGAGATCGGGCCAAGAAAATCCCTGTAACCAAGCACAATCAAGAAGCGAGGACTTGCCTAGCCAGGAACCCAACCAAATCTTTGGTAACGGGATTAACCGACTGTCCCTCTCAGCAGCCACCCGAACTCCACTGCACTGCGGGTTGCAACCGGTTGCGCCTTTAAGACTATCCACTAGCTGGATATAAACGTCATAGATCATATTCTCCTTTTCCTTCCAATATTCTATCAAGAAGGGTTATCTACCACTCCCTCTCCATACTCCTCGAAAAACACCGTATATCACAACAACTGGTCTGGCCAGAAAGCCAATTAACCAACATACTCTGCTTCTCCCATGGAACCGACTGCCGAAAATACAAATAAGAATCGTCAAGAATATCAAATCCAAAAAAATCCTCTACAAACTTCATCCTTTCTTCCTCAGAAGACTTCAAGGCGTTTTTAACCCCATCTAGCTTTTCAGTTAGTAGTATTAACCTGGGTAGTCCCCATTTCGTAACTATACAATATATCCTATTAACCAACTAAGTCAATTACCAGTATAAGGCATGGAAAAGGAACTTACAAGAATCAAGCCAATAGTAAAATGACTTTTCCGTCGAATACTTGTTCTCAAACTCCAATTTTGATTTATACCTCCCCACCAACCTCTCCTTACAAACCTCCCCTAACTCCACCAACTCCTTTTCAATAAGTCCATACAGCCGTCCAAGCTTGTTTGTGGAAGCAGGTTCATAAATCTCTTGTGAGATTTTATATACCTCCCAATCTAAAATCGGAGCTCTGTTGGCACAACGGTAGGAGACTATTGGATCGCTGTTGGCTTCTATGACCAACCAGAGATTGGAGAAGGACCTTTCTAGATTTTTTAGGATTGTCGAGGAGGGAGGGAGGAATGGGTTAGATGCTGGGTATTCTTCCCTGAGGTAGGGCTTGTAGAATCTTTTGATGTACCATTTAATGGTCTTCCGAATTGTGGAGAGGGCGTCTATGTCTGGGGATTCGAGGGAGATTATTAAAGTTTCTAGATCGGTGGTTGGTATACTCTGGAAACCGGTGTACTGGAATATGTCACCCAATTAATTAATATAGAATTTTATACGTTATTG